CGGGAGGCAGAGGCAGGCGGATCTCTGTGAGTTCAAGGCCAGCCTGGTCTACACAGTGAGTTCCAGGACAGCTGGGGCTACAGGGAGACCCTGTCTCAAAAAAACCAAAAAAAAAAAAAAAAAAGTATAGTCACAGACAAAAGAAATAATATAATTCCCTTGAAAATTACAATGTTAAATTTGGAGGCAGCTTCAGAGAACTTTATTGGTGGTAATGATTCACTGAGCTTTTTTTTATTTGGCCTTTTTTTGTCTTTGAGACAGGGTCTCATGTAGCCCCAGCTCTCCTGGAACCCACTAGGTAGACCAGGCTGGACTCAGTCTCACAGAGATTTGCCTGCCTCTGCCTCCAGAATGCTGGGATGGAAAGCATGTGCCACCACACCTGGCTTACTGAGCTTTTTTAATATCATAACTTCTGAGAAGCAGCCTGCAGATATTCCAAACTAATATTTTGTTCACTTACATTTAAGCTTAGCTACTAAGTCCCAAGCACAACAATGGAAATGTACATATCACTATTAGTTCTTAACATGATTTAATTGTATCAAGATACATAAATTTAAGTTTTATGTAAACTGTCCATTTTATTCTTTGTTAAAGTAATACATCTCTCCTACGTAGTCTTTAGTTGGCCCAAATGAAATACTCATCTAAGGTCACTGTGAGGAGAGGGACAACTGAGATTAATGTTTTTACTAAAATACCAGTAGATTTTGTCAAACTCAAAAAAGAAAAGGGCATTATCCTACATATTTACAATTCATATTTACACTTGGAAACTTTAACATTCATACAGTACTGCTGTATGTATGACCTGTTTTAAATTTCTTTTGAATTTCAAAATGTATTTCATGGTTTTCTTTTTCTTTTAATCTTAAGATCATCTGTTGTATTTGGTTGTCATGTCTCTTTAGTCTCCATTAATATAGAAGAACACTTCCTGGCCAAACTTTTGTCTTTTATGAAATCAACATTTTAAAAGTATTCTGATTAGTTTGCTTTAAAGAACATTTCTCAGCTGGGTGTGGTGGCACATGCCTTTGGTCCCAGCACACGGGAGGCAGAGGCAGGTGGATCTCTATGAGTTCTAAGCCAGCCTGGTCTACATAGTGAGTTCCAGGCCAGCTGGGGCTACAGGGAGACCCTGTCTCATAAAAAAAAGAAAGGAAGGAAGGAAGGAAGGAAGGAAGGAAGGAAGGAAGGAAGGAAGGAAGGAAGGAAGGAAGGAAAAGGAAGGAAGGAAGGAAGGAAGGAAGGAAGGAAGGAAGGAAGGAAGGGGGGAGGAAGGAACGAAGGGAAGGAGGGAGGGAAGGAAGGAAGGGAGGGAGGGAAAAAAAGATTATGTGGGGCATTTGGAAGGGAGGAGGGAGGGAGGAAGGAAGGAAGGAAAGAAGGAAGGAAAGAAAGAAGGAAAGGAAAAAAAGATTATGTGGGGCATTTCCCAGGAGTGGAGCTGGCAGGTCTAGAAGTTGCTCTGGGTGAGTCAGTGACTGGAGAGGTGAGTGACTGGGAAGACTTACACACTTTATGAACACTCGGCCCTTAGACCACGCTAAACATTTAAAATAGTTTTCTTTCTTCAATAATAAATTAACTTTAGCTTGCTATAACTTTTTACTCTATAAACTTTTAATGTTTTAACTTTTTGGCTCTGGTAGTAGCTTAAAACATAGATACATTATGTAGCTTCATGGCCTTATGTAAATTTTTTAAAATTTATTTTATTTAGCTTTCTAAACCTACTTGAGCTGAGACACATAATAAGCACGTGCAACCTAGGCCTACCCTAGGTCAGGATCACAAGTGTGACTGCTTTACCTCCACATCCTGTCCCACAGGGAGGTCCTCACCGGTAGTGGCACCTGTGGCGCTGTCACCTCCTGTGATGACATGCCTCTGGGATCCTTCCTAAAGGTCTGCCCGAGGCTTGGGCTACAGGCGCACAGCACTCTGCCCCAGCTCTGTAACATCGAGTGCTTTCACACTGTGACTGGGCACATTCCCAGAACTTCTTCCTGCAAACCGAAGACTTGGGAACCTAAGCAACCTCCTTACTTCCTTTCTCCAAGTCCCTAGTAACTGGCCATTCTATTTTTAATTTCCTTGACTCTAAGCACTTTAGATTCTTCATGTAAGTAGAATCGTGTCATGTG